GGGCCCAATGAAAGGACATACTGAGAACCCAAAAGCTTAAAACATTTTCCTACAATTACTGGCTTTTCTCCACACTTCTCCCATCCTTCTACCCAAGTTATGGTTGAATTATTACATCAAAATTAGTCATTAGTTTCCCTGTACATTACAAAATACTGTGTGGCTGATGAAAAGAACCGGGGAAAAGGCTTGCAAAATGCCATCCCTACACACTTCAGAGTGGGAACAGCATGAGGCCAGCCCCCAACAATTACCATCTTGGTTGAACCTGCACCAACCACTCAATCTCCCTGGATTTAGTTGCTATATGCGTAAAACGAGTGTTTTAAATACCTGATTAACTAGAGCGTATAAAGCAGTTTTTCACACATTTTACTAGCATAGGTGTCCTCTTACAGTAACTATCTGTTCGTAACTCTGCCTATTTTTCTACTAGCTTGTTTTATTCATTTACAGGAGTTCTTCATACATTCTGAATACTTGGTCAGATAAATGCCAATCTTTCCATGTATACGAACTCTTCTGCAAATTGCGCATTATTTGCCCAGTTATTTATTATGCCATTTCTTTTCTTCATTATTATGTGGGAAAGCTACGTGGATGCTGATCATTTTTCTCTTAATAGGTTGCTTGTTTCTGCCAATCTGTGCCTTGATTTTGCATTTTATAATTAAATGCTTTAATTTTTAATTAGATGATGAATACACATATAATTCTATACAACTTTTATGCTAACCTAAATATGTGATAATACACTTACATATGACAGATATAAATATAACTATCATAATGATAATGACAGCAGTACCTGCCCTAACTACCTCATAGGACTGCTGTGTCAGCTCAATGATGTAATACATGCTGCAAATTACAACACGTAAACTATGGTAGAAAATCTCTTGCAGAAAAGTCACACTCAACTCTATCTCTAAATAAGACATTTGAAGAATGACTCACTCACAGGTAATCAAAATTCTCATTTAATTAATAACAATCTGAAAGTTCTCAGGAATCACCTCCGACCTTAATTAATGGCACCCCAATGGAAGATCTGTTCTACCCAGGGATTCCCTATCAGAACTCTCTGCATAAAAACGTCAGTTGTAATGGATTACACCTTCAATCCTACTATTTCACAGTATGAAAGGGAAGCTTTAAGAGCCTATGTTAAATTCCCTGCTGAAAATGACATTACTTTCTAGGTTGACCTGCAGAGCACCTAGCAAATAGACTCTTAGGACTTACTGTTCGTTATTAAGACTAAGAAAATGTCTGCCCTTTATGATGATATATTTCATCAGCCTCACACTTTAATGTGTACTTAGTAATATGTTATGCAGTTCTCTACATAATTTACATCTTCCTTATTTATACAATGCCCTTTAATAATGTGACCCAGATTCATATAGTCCTAAAGACCAGAACTGCAATGACTTAAAAAGACCACACACAACTTCAAGAAAGTCAAATTTTTACACATTGGCTCCTAAAGATAACTCAAGTCAGAAAACAGTGGAATAAACAGAATAATGGTCCCAGAAAGATAGGCTTGTCCTAATCCTCAGAATCTGAGAATGTTACTGTCATGACAAAGGAAACTTTGCAGGTATATTAAGGTTAGGGATCTTGAGATTGGGAGAGTATCCTGAATTATCCAGGAGGGAATCAATCTAATCACATGAGTCCTTTAAAAAAGGGAAGAAGGAGACAGAAGACTGGACCAGAGCAATGTTACATGGAAAGGATGGGACCCACCATCTCTGGATCTGAATGCAGAGAAGGGGACCACGAGGCAAGGGAAAGCAGAAAAAGGCAAGGAAATGAACTCTCCCATAGAGCCTCCAGAAGGTACACAGCCCTGCCCACACCTTCATTTTAGACAAATGAAACCCATACTGAGCTTCTAAACTACAAAACTATCCAATGATAAATTTATGTCATGGTAAGTTGTTGTGGCAGCAATAGAAAAGTAATCCACAGAGCACACCTCGCTTATTTGCAGGAAAATCAACTGACCACACTGGAGCCCAGCTCCTGATCTGAAATCCCAGCTATACTACTTGTCAGCTGAGTCAGCTGAAACCCAGTATTAACCCTCCCTACGCCTTGGTGTTCTCAACATAAAACAAGGCTAATAGTACAGTAAGTCCTCACACTTAATGTCTTTGGGAGGTACCTATACTTCAAGCAAAACAATGTATAACAAAACCAATTTTACCATAGGCTAAATGATATAAACAAGAATTAGGTTCTTAAGGCATCTCATCAACACTGTAACAAAACATTATTCAAAGAGCTGCTACAGTACCTATCTTAAATGACCACTGAAAAATTAAATGAGCTAATTCATATAAGGCACTTAAAAATGTTGTTTCATAAACAGAAGGCACTAAACACATCTTAACTACCACTGTTATTAATTTTAATCAAGAATAACTGAACCACCTTCTTTTTTCAGTCACCTACAGAAAAATCACGGGATCAACAGTCTTCCAAACAGTCCAGGAAAGAGCCCTTGTAAAAATTACGGCTAGCACGCATATCCACAAGCAGTCTGCGAGTTGGTCCCAGCCCCACTGAGGGACCAGGCGTGGCTCTTCAAGAGTCATTCCGATAACTAAAGAAGAGATCACCAAAGTCAAAGTGTCAACATGAACTCCGTGAAGTGATAACCACAAACCACAGGGCCTGACAGAAAAGTGCCCATCAAAAAGTAGGAGCTGTCTTAATAAAAATAATAGATGCTGGGAAATTCATTTCTACTGAAATTGGCCGTAACTGGCATTTTACTGTTTATTTGGTATTTGTACAGCACTTTTCATTTGCAAAACACCTGCCCTACCATTTCTTCATAAACAAATTCTTTTTTCACTTTGTTACTGACTCGGCAACATTTATGTAAGTTGATAAAACCTAGCTAAGCAATGATTTACACTTTAAAAACACAAAGATATAACAACTGGTAATTTCCACAAAACCTAGAGGCAACACAAATCTAATGTATAGATATATTTTGTTTCATGATTCCACACACCGCAACGGCCCAAAGCAGTGTCAAAACCCAAAGAACAGCAACAGCAGATCAGAAAGAGGGAGAAACAAAGCCCCTGAACACCAGGAAGAGACCTGAGTAAAACCTTTGTCAAGTACTACAATAAAAGGCAGTGTTTGGGGGATCTTTTTAAAAAATCAGCAACTGCCCTGGCCGGTTTGGCTCAGTGGTTAGAGTGTCAGCCCCCAGAACAAAGAGTCATGGGTTTGATTCCGGGTCAAGGGCATGAACCTCGATTGGGGGTTCAATCCCCAGCCTCGGCTGAGGTCGTGCAGGAGGCAACCAATGGGTATGTCTCTCTCACACTGATGTTTCTCTGCCTCTCTCTCCCTCCTTCCTTCCCTCTTTGCCTCCCACGCTATCTTAAAAAAAAAAAGGAAAAATACCCTCTGGTGAGGATTAAATAATCAGTAACTAAACAGACCGACAGAAAAATATATTATAAAATAATTCCTAAAAGCAATACACTTCAAAATTTCAAGCCTAAGTAACCCTAAATTTAATGAAATGTTTTAAAAGATAATTAAAAATGCCCCAGTAAAAACAATATACTGTTTTGTTTTGTTTTAATTTCTCTTTATTTTTTAAAGTATTACAGATGTCCCTCCCTTTTTAACCCCCATTGACACCCTCCTCCTCGGTCCCCCACCCAACTTCACTGCACTGTTGTCTGTGTCCATTAGTTATGCTTAGAGGCTAATAAGATCTTTGCTTTATCTCTTTCTTCCCATCTCCCCACCCCCCTTCCCTCTCAAGTTTGTCAGTCTGTTCCCCACTTCTCCAAAAAACGTACTTTCAATTAGTTACACAGAATGCATTGATTAAATCCAAATAATGTTTTCTATCTTATTACTTCAAGCTCTACAGTGCGGCAGAACTAGTGAGAACTGTAAGAACTCATTTCTATCTGAAAGGCCCATGAAAACTGACATCGCCCCTGTTCCCTCTGGAAGGCGCTGTCAGCGGCAGCCCGGCAGGGCACCCACACAAGACGGCCAGCCCGCTCCCAGCCCGAGGTGCCAGAGCAGAGCAGCTCTTTGCGGGGCCCAGAAGCTCGCTGAGCCCCGCTGGGCTGAACTCTCGGACGGTTAGGTCTGAGCCACACCAGCACGCCCCTCAATCAGCGGTTCTCAACCTGTGGGTCGTCGCGACCCCTTCGGAGGTCAAACAACCCTTTCACAGGGGTCGCCTAACACATAACAGTAGTAAAAATACAGTTATGAAGTAGCAACAGAAATAATTTTATGGTTGGGGGTCACCACAACATGAGGAACTGTGTTAAGGGTCGCGGCATTAGGAAGGTTGAGAACCACTGCCCTAAATCTTTGCATCCAGATTCCAAGTACACTCTCCCTCCCACAACTTTAAATATAAGCCAAAAGGCTCTCCTTTATCTTATTCAACAGAATTTAAGTAGCCCAAGAAGAAACATGATTAGTTTGAGGATATGTCCTCAAAGTGTATTTTGTGTGTGTGTGTGTATGTGCACGAGCATGTGCAGGCACATATGAAGTGAGGAGGCCACTGGAAGATACAGGAGTCAAAATACAGAACAGGGGTCACACACCCCAAAGCCCTCAAGGACCACGTTGGGAATACAGAAGCAACTGGGTCAAAGCTAATAAGAGCAATAGAGGTTACAGCAAAAAGCATCACACACTCCATCAAAACATTCAAATTCGACTTCAGAAAAACAAGCAGTGCCAGCCGATAAAACACACCTACCGCTGGACTCAGCAGGCAGGCCGGACTCGGCTGCCAGTTTTCAGTGGAGACAGACGCCATGGCCCAACCATCTGAATCTTACTCCCTCTGAGGAAAGCAAAGGGCTCCTCAGGGGCCCCACTGCACTCGCCTCAGGCCCCCCAGGCTCCCCCAGCCCCACGAGTGTCCCCAGGCCTCTGCCCAGGAGCTGCAGAGTGTAGCAGCTAGAGAATTACATACTCACCACTTGAGCTCCCAGGAGTTGAATACTGAGAGGTATCAAGAAATTTTCGAGGCGTAGGAAGGTTTGTAACATCAATCAGAGGAACAGGAGAAGCATCTTTCACAAGGGAGCTGAGGGGAAAAGCAGCAGTAGTTAGTTAGTTACCCTCTTTCTCCCAAAACATCGTAAGTCCCACTACATGCCCACCCACCCCTTACCATCTTCTCTGTTTCGAGCCCTCTTTAACTGCGACTTCAAATATCTCCCAACATGTTCCCCGTGCGGTGGTGACTGTCACAGACAGGGGTATAACGATGTACTCTAAGGATTCCATGTATTTAAATATTTATTGTTTTCATTTCAGTGCAAGGTTTTAAAAAACTGATGTTAAATACGTTCTGGATCATCTGGATGCCACCTTAAAACCAAATTATGCTGCAAAATTTCAGTCCCCTCCTTTGTGTATTAAAATTGATTTATCAGCAAAGAAAGAGCAAATGACACCATACCATGGTAACTGAATGAAGGTTTAACTAGCTAAGCCCAGTTTAATTTGTGTTTTTCAAGCTAAAGTTCTTTGACATATTCTGGGACTTCACTACATTTAGTTTTCTTTAAAAGAGGTTCATAATTTCACCAAGTTGAGAATCACTACAATAAAAGATGATTTCAGGAATTTTGAACAGATTAATTCAGTATTTAATTATCACCTTTTCCAAAAAGGCCTAGCCCCTCATCTTAATGATTACCTTTACAGTCTCCAAAATAAACACAGCAATTTCAAATGACACAAAGACTATTAAAAAAAAAAAAAAAAACAATTAAATTTTCAAGTTAAGTCCTGGCCGGTTTGGCTCAGCGGTTAGAGCGTTGGCCTGCAGGCCGAAGAGTCCCGGGTTCGGTTCCCGCTAAGGGCACGTACCTCAGTTGCAGTTTGGCCCAGGCCCAGGTTGGGATTATGTGGGTGGCAACCACTCGATGTGTCTCTCTCACATTGATGTTTCTCTCTCTCTCTCTCTTCCCTCCTCTCTCCTTCCCGCTCTATCTGAAGATAAATACAAAAATGTCCTCTGGTGAGGATAAAAAAAATAAATAAATAAATTTTCAAGTTAATTCCCATTTATAGGCATCTGTTAAGTGCAAGAATATAGGTCATGCCAAGACAAATAACACCCATGTCCTACCTTCCAGAAACTGCATCATCTAATCACAATGAATCTACAACAGAAAAGCTTCTCCAAGTCAAGTCTCAAGGGTAGAGAGGTCAAAGCCATAGTTTTCATCACCCCTTTCTGGTCCCAACATACATCATCTGTAGCAGCTGCTACCCATGCAAATGATTCACACAGTGAGTTACAAAGGGAGGGCAGGCAGAGGGGAGCAGGAAGCGACCCCACCTGTAGGAAGACTTTCTCTAGAAGGAATGAAAGGATGTATGTAATTCTGAACACCTGCCCCCCGCACCCCAAACCTGGCCATAATGATATATCCCTATCTGCCTCCTTCACTACGTTTGGAACCAAAGTGCTACGTATGTATGTATTTTTAAGCTAATAAAAGTAAATATATAAATAAATAAACATATTCTTTCAAAAATCCTTGAAAAACAAACTTTCTGTTAAAGGGAAAAATTATCACGTAAGGTATTATTTTTATCAAGCGCTGGTCATGTGTAATCCACACTATGACAGTCATGAACTTCTCCATTTTCACTTAATGCAGAGAAGGGAGAATCATTACTGGAACAAGCCTGAGGCACCGGCACATGGCCCCGCCCACTGATGGCTCCAACGATGACTAAGACAGGAGCTGACCAAACTTAGCACGTTTCCAATCGGAATCACTTGCAGACTAATGGGAAATCTCAAGTGAAGTATAAAATATAAAAGTAACAGTAACAGCCCTGACTGGTGTTGTTCAGTGGTTAGAGCGTTGGCCTGAGGACCCAAAGGGTCATGGGTGTGGTTCCCAGTCAAGGGCATGCCCTTGGGTTGCAGGTTTGATCCCAGCCCTGGTTGGAGCACGTGTGGGAGGCAACCAATCGATGTGTCTCTCACGTCGATGTTTCGCTCTCTCTTTCTCTCTCCCTTCCTCCCTTCCACTCTCTCTAAAAAAAAAAAAGTGGCAGAAACAGCATTTACCAAGAATTGAACCGATATAGTTCCAATAACTCTTTTCTTCCAATATATAGCTATAATCTCCAATCTGCCTATACTATCTTAAGAAAATCCAACAGAGCTTTCAAACCCACTAGTTTATCACAACAATTTGTCTATCAGATCAATAGACAAATCTATTAGATCCTAAAATCATCCATTTAGCTTTTATATATTGACTACTGTCTTCTCATTTTCCTCAACGACCTCATCCTCTTCGACCTGCATATTCACCATTGGAAACAGCACTACACACCTCCCTCGCCCCTGGACACACACATGCCCAGGGGCAGAGATCATCACTGATGTTTCCAGTGCTGCTAGTCAGTAAATAAGAAAAAGTTCATTTCAATTTTAAATAAGAAAAATATATAATACATTTTACAAATATTTCCATAAGAAAAGCAGAGGAGTTACTTTTATTTATTTTTTTTCTTTTCTGATTTTAGAGAGAGAGGAAGGGAGAGGGAGAGAGAGATGGAAACATCGATGAGAGGGAACATCGATTGGCCACCTCCTGCGCAATGCCCTCCACTGGGGGGTTGGTCTAGAACCTGGAATCGAACCGGTGACCTCTTAGGTGCATGGGTCGAGGCTCAACCACTGAGCCACACCAGCTGGGCCACAGGAGTTACTTTTAAAGCACTGATAAATAAAGGTATCAATTAGCAGGAAAGTTCAGGGAGGTAGCTGCAATGCTGCCTGCCAAGCCTAGAAATGAAGCAGTACAGTTAGTTACACATATACCTATATATCTATATCTATCTAAACATAGATATATATGTATATATATATAACATATATATAACATAATATATGTATAATACACACCTTTATAAACACAGACGTACAAATGATTCACTTTAGATCAAAACCTATCATTATTTTCTCAGTTTTAACCTGAAAATATATTTTAAGTTAAATATAGGGTGATAGCATGCCATTTTAACTTAAAAAAAAATAATAACCTGCTGACTTTATTATCAGAGCCAGAAGGGCTCTCAGACTCCATCAATAAACTTTCAGAAAGTCAATTTACTGAAAAACTATTTTCAGAGACTCATCTCTCTCTCTAAAATTTTCCCGTGGGCTTCAATTTTCTCCTTTGTGAACACTAACCCAAAGGCAAGTCACTCTGCAAACGACTTTCAGTTTTCCTCTTGTTCTTTATGGAAGGACTTAATGTGGAGAGTTCAGGAGAAAGGGGCACGCCCACCCTCGGTGACTGCAGCCGAGCAGCGGAGCAGAAAGGCAGGTGCCGTTCCAGACTATCCCACGCAGACAGCGTGTACCTGTTTCCACAGCAGACAGCAGGAAAAAAGCCTGTTCTCACCACACACCAGAGATAAAGTGCAGAAAGTATTCATTAATTAATACCTTCAAAGGGTTTAAGTCTCTCAGAGGAAGTATTTTTGAAAACAAAAAATAAAATAGAAATTGGATTATGTTCAAGTTTCTAATTAATATTAATAACCTGAACTGCCTTATTTTGAAAAAATATGATAGGAGTTAGTTTTCTTTTTAAATACGTATGATTACAAATTTTTATTATAAATCCATTCAGAATCATTCATAGCTGAGTTGAAAAAGACAGCTGATGCACATCAGATCACCCCCCACAAATTACTAATAGTATATTGTGATTGAATGTGATTTGCTATCAAATAACCACAGGCCCTGGCCAGGTGGCTCGGGTGGCTGGAGCATCACCCAGTACACCAGAAGGTTACTGGCTGGGGTCCTGATCAGGGCACATAACCAGGTTTTGGGTTTGATCCCTAGTCAGGGCATGTACAGGAGGCAACCAATAGATGTTTCTCTCACATACAGAGATGTTTCTCTCTCCCACTCTCGCTCTATAACAATTTTTTTTTAAATGTATCCTCAGGTAAGAATTAAAAAAGTAAAAATAATAAAAATAAATAACCACATGATGACAGACAGGAAAACTAAAATTAAATTATTTCGAGACAATAACCCCTACCACCACAACCCCGGGAACTTTCTGGTTGTTCACCATCCATCCAATTAGTAAGAAGCTACTTCTAAAGGTGTTTGATTTCAATATTCCAAGCCATGAAAAGTTTGGATTTTTTTTTTTTTAATAAGGATTAGAAGTGCTAACAGCTTATTGAACATTTGCTTTTTAATTAAAATGCATTTCTGTTCCTTCACTCAGTAATAAATATGTTCAACTATGTCCAAAATTCACAACAGCTCATTTGGTTGATTTTATTGTCAAACTAATGCTTGACAGAGGTGAACGGAACTCTAGTTGTAAATCTAGTAACTAATATATCCACCTCTGTAACCCCAACAGCTTGCCCCATACCCGTCACAGAGCAAGTGCTCGGAAAAGTTTGTTAACTCAAACTGAGCTGAGAAATATCTGTCAAAGAAACACGGCCTTCATAAGAACATGTTACGAAAGGATGAAACAGGAATGGCTGGCACATTTCTAGGTTCTAAGATCTGCTGAAACACACAGAAAGAATAAGGAATGATTCAGAGGGTATAAAAGGAAAAAACGATCATGGTCTCAAATGACACACCAAGAGTTGAAGACATGTAATACCAAATAAAGTAAAGTTAAAAGCTCAGCAAAGAGGGGGGAAAACTCAGAGGAAAAAAAATGGAAAGAAAGCCATATAAAAAAAAAAAATTAAAAGACAAAATAGGCAGCAAACAGTAAATGGGGTCAAGGTGGCTCTTTACACACCCAGAGACAAATATGGACACCAAAATCCAAGTCTGAAATCTCCTCCACGAACTAAGAGTGTCCAAGGGAGAAAGGTTAATCAAGTATTAACACAAGCCCTGGCTGGTTTGGCTCAGTGGTTGGAACATCAACCTGCAGACCAGAGTCCTGGGTTCAGTTCCCGCTAAGGGCACGTACCAAAAAAAAAGTATTAACCCAGGATGCATGCAATAAGTAAAAGGATTAACTATGTTTAAAATAACTTTTTATTGATTTT